CAACATAACGTGTATGAGGGAGGCATCACAGATCACTATCAGGATGCTTTCTTGTGGCAATACTGACCACAGACATCAACACAGTCTCCATCAGCAGCTGGGTCATGGATATCCAACTGTTCTTCAGTATGCAGCCCAGAGCATGAACATAAACATAGTTTTTGGTGGCATCAAGGACAAAGATTTCAACGTGGTCTCCAGTACAAGGATGGCTTAATGATATCAAAATAGTTTCTGTTGGCAGCTTAGATCATTCATATTGACCTAGTCCACAGTAGCAGCACCAATCAGAGACATCAACATTATGGCTGAGAGCAGCACAGACTAAAATCATCATGGTCATCATCATGGACTCAGGTGGCAACATGGACAATGGACATTCACAAGGTCTAAGATTCCAACGAAGCTTATGGCCATAAACATGGTTATCAGCGGCAACATGAATGAGTGACATCAACTTAATTTCAGATGTTAAGTCAGATAATGGACATCCACTTGGTCAAAACAGGGAACAAAGATAAATGACATCAACATGGATGGTTTCCTGTGGCAGATCATAAACATCAACTTAGTTTCAGGTGGCAGACAATCACAGAATTCAACATTGTATACAGTGCCAACACAGGACACTTACCTGAAGTGGGTCTCAGGTGGTAGTATATACCATTGATTTCAAAATTGTCACAGATGATAACAGACTTGAGACAGCAGTATGGTTACAAGTGGTAGGAAGTTTCAGTAGCATAAACCTGATTGACAGCAACAGCAAAGATCAGTGACATCAACAAAGTTTCAGATGACAAGTCGAATCATGGACATCAGCAAGGTTAAGAGAGGCAGCGAGAATCACTCACATCAACATGGTTGCCTGTGTCAGTATAGATCATGGATATCAATTTAGTTTCAGGTGGCAGACAGATCATGGAAATCAATATTGTGCACATGAGGGACACAGGAAACTTACTTGAACTGGGTCTAAGGAAGCAGTATGGACAAATGACTTCAACACTGTTTCTGATGACACTGTACACTGCAGACATCAATATGATTACAGGTGGTAGCAAAGTTCATTAACCTCAACATGGTTGACAGTTACAACATAGATCAGTAACATCAACAAAGTTTGGACAGTAGGTTGGATGATGAACATCAACATGGTTAGAAGATGCAGCAAAGAACAGTGACATCAACATGATTTCCTGCAGTGGCATGCATCAGGAGTATTAAATTAGTTCTGAATGGCATGTGGGATCAAGGAAATCAACATTATTCATGTGGGCAGCACAGAATACTTACCTCAATGTGGTCTCAGGTGGCAGGACAGAACATGGACATCAACATCAACACCTTATCCAGGAGCAAAACATAACATAAGGCATCAAGATGGACTTCAAACCAATTGGAATAGCATAGGAAAGCTCATGAACACGATAAAGAAAACAGCAGGAATCCATGTCGTCAACAAGGTTGCAGGTGGTAGCATGTAAATATCACCAATTTCAGATGGTAGCTGAGATCATGGCAATTAACATTCATCACGTTGGCAGCACAGAACTCTTGCATCAATAGGGTCTCTTGTAGAAGAATATCTCCATGGATATGGACATCAATGTCATATCTACAGTACGAAAGACCAAAAGCATCAACAAGCCTTCCAGAAATAGTAGGAAGAGCATGGTA